AATTTAAAGCATGACCAAGTGTTATTATTTTGTGTCAGTAACTAAAAACGTACTGTGTTAAACTTAGGAAGGTCGATGAAAATGGTTCTGCCTTTCACTGTTATGACCTATGCCATTTGTAAATTACTTAAATAATATTAAGTAGTAATTGTTTAGTAGTAGTTGGTAAATTATTTTACCTCATACTTTTTATGTTAATTTTTCAGATTGATTAATTTTTTCAAGCTGAAGGCGATTTTTTAAAAGGGTATTAGTTAAAGTTTTGCGTTATTAAATTGTGGAAAACAGCCACTATAAATTAATTATGTAGCACACCGACCAAAACCCGTATTACGGGTTGCTTTTTGCTAGTTAACATTAATCCACTAAATCATTGTTTTACCGCTTATAAATACCGTTACTAGACTACCGTTAACCGAACACTAAATCCTAAAGTTTAGTCAGTTTTTTATGTTGTAAACAAATTTGTTACTTAAATATGCATAACACTTTGTAGAAGTATTTGTTTTAATCAAATTTTTGCCATTGTAATAAAAATTTAAAGCTCTTTCCAATGATATATTATAATTAAATATATAAATAGTTAGAATTTTTACGCACGTACCTACGAGGTAAGTATTATCGACAAAAATGTCTTTAAGTTGTCAACTTAGAGGTGTTATTGTCGCTCAGCATAGTTGAACGTTCATGAATTTTTTTTCAAGCATTAACAAATAAGAGGAGTCCTGTTTTGCTTGAACGTCTCTTAAATTCCGTGTTGATAAGATCCTTATCAAAATTCAAAAATTTACTTAGTCCTCATGAAGGACTTAAATCTGAAATATGTTTTGATGCTATTTTTCATATATTTTGAGTTGGTGTATGCTATACTAATAAATCTAAAAATTTTGCATTGCATATTGTTCTAAAAGTTTTTTTATGGAGTAAATTTTTGAGTTTTGTATTCACAGTTATCCATTATGTCCCACCAAAGTTTCTATTTGTTTTATGGTAATAATATTATTACCATTATAATTCATTATAATGCCATTATAATGTCACGTAATACCATTATAATCCCATTATAATGCTATATAATGCCATGTAGTACCATTATAATTCATTATAATGCCATGTAATACCATTATAGCGCATTATAATGCGACAAATTTTGATTTTTATATTACTTTTTTGATAAAATTTGGTTATTTTATAATTGATAAATTTTTACAGGTTTTATGTATAGCGTTTTTATTTTCAGTATTAATGAAGTCTAATTTCGACCATAAATCGATTTAAATTTCTACATTTAATGGATTCAAAATATAGTTTTTTTTTTTTGTTTTTTTTTTGTGCTCTTTTAATAGTATTAAGTATCATATCTTACTAAATTATCATAATGAAGTTAAATTTTTTGTTTCATCATCATAATAATTTGATTCATCATGTAAAACTGCTACTAATACTGCAGTTCCTAATTTCTTATTTTATTGCAAAAGCCTTTAAATATTGTTTGAGTAATAGCATCACAATTTTAAAATACTGATTTTAATTATTAAGTTAATTATTTTAAATGTTTTTGCTTTTGTATGATCATAATTTTGTTTTGGTAAAAACGCTTTGCCACATTTCTATTGTAGTTAGTCTTGTAAAATATAAATATTTTACAAGACTAACTACAATAGAAATGTGGCAAAAATTATCATAATGAAGTTAAATTTTTTGTTTCATCATCATAATAATTTGATTCATCATGTAAAACTGCTACTAATACTGCAGTTCCTAATTTCTTATTTTATTGCAAAAGCCTTTAAATATTGTTTGAGTAATAGCATCACAATTTTAAAATACTTGATTTTAATTATTAAGTTAATTATTTTAAATGTTTTTGCTTTTGTATGATCATAATTTTGTTTTGGTAAAAACGCTTTGCCACATTTCTATTGTAGTTAGTCTTGTAAAATATAAATATTTTACAAGACTAACTACAATAGAAATGTGGCAAAAATTATCATAATGAAGTTAAATTTTTTGTTTCATCATCATAATAATTTGATTCATCATGTAAAACTGCTACTAATACTGCAGTTCCTAATTTCTTATTTTATTGCAAAAGCCTTTAAATATTGTTTGAGTAATAGCATCACAATTTTAAAATACTTGATTTTAATTATTAAGTTAATTATTTTAAATGTTTTTGCTTTTGTATGATCATAATTTTGTTTTGGTAAAAACGCTTTGCCACATTTCTATTGTAGTTAGTCTTGTAAAATATAAATATTTCCTATTTTTATATAATATGAGCTCTAAATACAAATCTGGATTTACGAGAGCTTTGTTAAAAAGGGTTTAAATAGTTGTGTTAAATAATTACAGATATATAAATTTATAGTAAAAAAAAAAACTTTAAAAAAGTTTTGAAGTTAAGAAACTTTTAGTATTAATATAACTTTTTTGCTAACAAATTTAAGTTAGTTTGCCCCTTGAAAACAAAGTATTTGGTTATATATATATATATATATATATATATATATATATATATATATATATATATATATATATATATATATATATATATATATATATATATATATATATATATATATATATATATATATATATATATATATATATATATATATATATATATATATATATATATATATATATATATATATATATATATATATATATATATATATATATATATATATATATATATATAGGGTTGCTATATGGTAATCACTGAAAAAGAGGAGATTTTACACAGCGGCAGGTTTTAGGGGTGGGGGGGAGGTGATACCTATGCCCCCCCCCTCTCTTTGGTTTTTTTTTCAAAAACTTCTTTTGTTAATTGACTATTATACAAAATTGGATTACTATACTGAGGAATGAAATTGACTATTATACGTAATTATACGTATACAAACTTAGTTATTACACTAAAGTACAAAAAATTAAAAAAAAAAGTTACTTAAAAATGAAAATATCCTTTTTAGCCCTCTCCTTGGCGAGAGACAAAACCTGCTCCTGATTTTACAATATGTGTTAAATGAATGAGAATCCTTATTATTTAGCACGGCATAACCAGAGTGGACCCCTTTTATGAGAATTAAATAAATAATAACCCCTTTTGTTAAATGTCATTCATTTTTTTAACACAAGTTGCTGGTTATGCAATTAAAATTAACCTAATTTTAATTGCAAAATGTTCACATTCAATTTTATTGCTGTCTTACAATTATTGATATTCTATGTTAAAATATACCATACTTTAAAAATGCAAGCCAATAATTATTCCTCCATCATTTAATCTTGTCTCTATTGTCATCTTGTAACCATTATTCACTTGTATCTAACTAATCACTTCAATCAGTTATCAATTTCACAGTTATCGATTAATCATTTGTTGAAACAGAGCAAGAACTATGAACGGGGAAAATAAATCATACGAACTATACTTTTTTGTTGAACTTATCTTTTTCAATAAGTCTTTGTTAGATAAAAGGGGCTTTTTTGTTTATAATTAAGTCTTCAACTTGATCCCAAATAAGGATACTGTCAAATTTCATCCAACCTAAAGCTTTTAACTCTTGTTATTGTGACTAATAACAGGTCAAAGGTTACATAACTTACATAATCTTGGCTTATTTATGATTGTAAGATGCATTAGATAAATTGGATTAACATAAGGAAATTTGTTTATCTTTGGGAGAAACAGAAATAAATGATCCAGCTGGGCAAATTTTGAATTTGGCTTCACACTCATTCCTCTCTTTCTTAAACTAGAAAACATTTTTTTTAGACAAAATTATTGAGAGTGCAGCGATTCTTTTACTTTAAAACTTTAAATTAAAGGAACTATCTTTCGGGTAGCAGCAACCAAAATACTTTATTACCTTTACGTAAATTATCGATCATGACTTTCGTTTTCGCAAGTTTAGATGCGCGCGCATTTTTCAATACTGTGTAATCAAGAGAAGAGAACATGTGCTGTGAGAGCATTTTTAATACATTGTTAGAATGACTAAAAACATTTTACATTAAATAGTTTTTACATTTTCAGTTCTATACATTCAAGTATTAAAATTTAAGTATTAAATATCAAATTTTTATAAAAGTTAAATAAAAACCTCCAAAGAGAGATTTTAGGTTTTTTCTAAAATCTCCCGGAGCCTTATTTTTTGCCTTAAAATCTGAAGATCTCCGGGCAAATCTGGAGATATGGCAACCCTATATATATATATATATATATATATATATATATATATATATATATATATATATATATATATATATATATATATATATATATATATATATATATATATATATATATATATATATATATATATATATATATATATATATATATATATATATATATATATATATATATATATATATAATATATATATATATATATATATATATATATATATATATATATATATATATATATATGTATATATATATATATATAATATATATATATATATATGTATATATATATATATATATATATATATATATGTATATATATATATATGTATATATATATATATATATACATATATATATATATATATATATAATATATATATATATATATATATATATATATATATATATATATATATATATATATATATATATACATATACATATATGTGGGCAATTCTGCGAGAAAGAGGGAAAAAAAAAAGCAAAAAAGTTATAAAAACACATACTAAACTCCAAAACTTTTTTAAAACTATTTTAAAATACTTCTAAGCAAAAAATTTATTTAAAAAAATTATTTTATCATACCATTGCATGGTTTTGAAGTTGTAAGGGTCGTATTAATGTGTTTTGACGCTAATTTATAGTCCTGTTGTGTAGTGTTAAAAATTGTACCATATATCCATAATTGAAAACTTTGATAATGTTTTATTGCATTTTTTTAACATATTATATGTTGTTGTTAACAATTATTTATACTTTTTTTCTTACATCATTGATTGTGTCATTACATTTGTTGTTTTTAAGCATTGGATTTTTTGTTACGACCGTCACAACAACAAAAAACACAAAAAAACTTGTAAAACTTCAAGTAAAAACTATGTAACTCAGGAAATATTAATATCAGTATGTGCTAAATACACACACCAAAGGATTTTTTTTTACCATGTCGTTCACCCCATAAAGTCTGACAAAGTTGTTTTGTTCAGAAGTGGTAAAAAGTAAGTGTTATGAGTTAAAGACTTCAATGCTGTAACTTTTACATACTAAATTATATGATAGTATTTCACATTTCTGGAAAGTTTCAAGTCATCTCCGTTTTTGGTTCATTTTTAATAACTTAAAGAGTGTCAAATGTTATGATCGTCACTCTCGCGGAATCGCCCACCCCTATAACATTTAAAGTTATGTAACGTTTCAATTAGTTAAAATTGGTAACAAGGTTACATTCTCTATTTTTTAATCAAATACTAAGTAAATCAACTTGGTAATGCATTAATAGTTTGTTTACTATTGCTGTAATGCTATATACTATCTTTTATTTTAATTTTATTGTGAAATTGCTTTGTTTCAATTTTACTTACTTTGTCACACAAAAAAGAAAAGTGTTAATATGCAACTTATGTCTCAATTGTTTTTTTATATTTTTATAAAGTGTAACCAATTGAGACGTAACGTAATATAACTCAATCTAGATTTGAAATGTAACTAAAATATGTCTCAAACATAGATTTTTTTAACGTTATGTCTCAATTAGTTACCTTTAAAAAAAAAATGACGTAATGTATCGTAAAAAAAATTATACTTGTAACATATTTTAATTACGTTTCAATTCTGAAATGTTTTACGTTACGCTATGTTATGTCTTGGTTGGTTATACTTTTAAAGGTAGTAAGTACCTTAGGTTGCCTAAATACTGTAAATTATTTTAACTTTTAAATGTACTTTCTTTTTTTTTTAATTTTTTCAAATTACAATAGTTTTGACAAAGGTGTTATTGCGTTATCAATAAACAAATACATAAATAATCAAATACATAAATAATATTGTAAATAAAACAATTCTGTTAAATACCGTAACTCATCAGTTACAGTATTTAACAATACGTTTGTCGAGATATTTGTAACTAAAATATTTTTTTTCTTATTGCTAATTATCATCGTTTTTTTTTAACTGTAAAAAAAAGTTTCAATTCGCAAAGTTACATTTCAATTATTTTATTTTAACTTATGAAAGTGCAATTTTTAAAAAGCGTAGACTGAAACATAACTTAACGCTAAAAAAAATCTATATTTGAGATGTATTTTAACTACGTCTTGTATCTAGATTTTGTTACATTACGTTTTTTTATTGGTCAATAATACAAGCATAATACTTTACGCCTTTTTATAAATCCACAAGCAAAAATGTATACAAAATGTCAACCTTTATGAAATAGCTTTATTATTACAATAATAAGCTTAAGCTAACTATGTGTATAGTTAGTACTTTCTGTGCAGTATCTGTCTACACTTTCTGACTTGACTTCACTTTATTCTGCTGCTTACTCTCTCTCTATAGCTCTCTTCATAATTAATACCTCTCTCTACATATATATATAAATGTACATATGAAAAAATAAAAGAAAAATATAGTGATAGATACTATAGATTACAGTGTTACGTGTCATTAGGTCAAAATGTTATGTGTTGTTATGTAACATTTTTCACGTATTAATACGTTACAATGTTAGATCTCGCTTACATAAAAATAACAGACATTTTGCAGGTAACATAACAAATTCCGTTTACAATACATAACGTAACTCTAAAATGTTATAGGAGCTATATATATATATATATATATATATATATATATATATATATATATATATATATATATATATATATATATGATTTAAATGTTGACATCTTGTACAAGAGTAAATATATATATATATATAAACTAATTCAAAACATCAGATAATACGAATTCTCTCAATACTAAATAATTTATTTGAAATTTTCGCCGGATTATAGGCACCGGCATCATCAGCATATAATATAATATAATTGCAAAAATTGTGACCGTTAAATAACAACAACAAATTTTTTAAATTTTGACGTCACCTTTATAATGGCTTCTTTTACCTAAAAAGCTTCTTTTACCTGTATGAAAAAAATGAAGGCCAAAAATTTGTTTTTAAATATTGTCCATTGTCCAAAATCAAACCACTGTACATTGGAGAACATTGATGTTTTTGTATCTCTAAGGCCTCACGGACTTTTCTTTTTTTTTTTTTTTAAAAGAAAAGTATATATTATATATATATATATATATATATATATATATATATATATATATATATATATATTATATTATATGCTGATGATGCCGGTGCTTATAATTTGGCTAAAAATTTCAAATAAATTATTTAGTATTGAGAGAATTCGTATTATCTGATGTTTTAAATTAGTTTATATATATATACATATATATATATATATATATATATATATATATATATATATACATATACATATATATATATATATATACATATATATATATATATATATATATATATATATATATATATATTATATATATATATATATATATATATATATATATATATATATATATATATATATATGTATATATATATATATGAGTGCCACTAAAAACAACTTTTTTTGAAATTGTCTGCTGCCACCTCCTAAATGTGTTCTATGTAATAAATTAACTCTAAATTAAAAAAATATTTTAGGGGTCGCTTAACACCCTTAATTTCACTTCTTTTGAGACCCAACATGATATACTTTTAAAGAACTTTTTTTTTCAAAGTATTAGGGAATCGTTTGATGTTTAAGGGTCTTGAGCAACCCCTAAAAATTTTTTTTATTTAAAATTTTTTTAAATTTAGTGTTAATTTATTACATAGAACACATTAAGGGAGTGGCAGCAGACAATTTCAAAAAAAGTTGTTTTTAGTGGCACTCTAATACATCGCAAAAAGTGGCCTTTTGGTGGATTAAAGTATTTCACATCAATATCAACAGCAAATAATTTATTATTTAACAATTGCAACTGTACCAATGCACTTACTAAATGACAGCAAAAGTAAGACTGACAATTATATCAATTTTAGTTATTTTGTAGTTTATATTTAAAACAGTAGTCAATTGAGTCAATTTTCAGTGCCATTACAAACTTATTTGGCTTTCGAAAGTACCAAGTATCTTTCTTGGAATCTGGAAATTTGTGGCCATGTTCCTGCACTACCTGCAATAAGTACTGTTTCTGTTCTTCATTTTTTGTTAGCAGTGAATTGTAATCCTGTATGAGTTTCACTCCTCTTTCAGCGGATTTATTAACTACGGATAAAGCCAACATGGTTTGTTCTGAGGCAATGTAGTCAGTGTTTTCTTTCCACTGCTCTGGTAGCAACTTCAGAAACGCATCACTCAGCTGCAGGATCTCAATGAACTTTCTGGTGTTTGAGGTTACAAATGCACTTAGTGACTATGAAGCATCGACAAACCTGGAGTCAAGTCTTGGTGGTGGATGGTCTAAGCCAGCTTGTACACGTTGCATGTTGTTGATCATTGTCTGTTTTTCGTTGAAATCAATTTGTGAATCAAAGAAAGCCAAACCAATAGTTATTTCATGCAAATACCACAGATGGCGGCTGAATGTTGTAACTGTAGCCTGTCTAATGGCTTGATTTCTGTATTTAGACAATTGGCGTAGCAAATGAAGATCATTAGCAGACGTTTTATATGCACAAAGAGCAATGCTTCAATGTAAACGTCACATATAAACAAGAGAAACTGGAAAATTCCCCTTTCTTCACCAGCTTTCAGTTTGAATTTCAATTGACCTGGACATCCACATTTTGAATGAATAAATGATTCTAGCCATCCAGCATGCCCAGTATAAAGCTCCAGGTGCTGTGAAATGAACACCACGCCATGGAGTTTCGCCTAGAAAGATGATTGCTAATTCCAAGAGTTCCCTGTAATCATCTTGAGGTTGATTGATTTCAATATTTGTTTCAGCAAAATGAATTATATACGAGCTTTGAAATCAGCAATCTCTACTGCATCTGCCTCTATCTGGAAGTTGCTTTGGTCAATCTGATTCTAATTGTCTTGGAATCTCATAAACATCAGAATATCTGAACCTGTGGATGTTGCTATTTTTATTATAGAAAAGGCCTTATCAGTTACAATTTCCATAATATGATGCCTGCATGCAAGATGTAAAAGTTCACGATCAAGGGCTTTTTGGATCAGACTGCTTGCAGACTGCTTGCACCCTTGTTGCTAGCAGTTGTGTTAAAACATAATCCTCTTATAATGTCATGAACATTCCAGTCATTGATATATTGTACTACTGCTTTATATATATTGTACTGCGGCTGCTTGTGCTTCTCCGGCCCCAGAAATAATTTTTGGAACGCCAAGTAGTTGTTCTGTTTCAACACTGGGTACAATAACAGGTAATCTATCACCCTTCTGTTTTCCAGTGATTTCAGGCAACGGCTTTCCGTCCCAGTGGACAACTAATGCTGAATCAGCTGTAGCAACCAACAGATAAGAACTTTTCTGTATGTTACTTTAATTCGATCCAAAGCTGCCGTCACATGTTTTGTAATAAGTGTGATTTTGTTTGGTTTGAATGACGATGGTTGCTCTTTCAAACTGGCTCTTCCTCACTCGCTGAATCATTTTCATCTGTCTCAGTGCTACTGCTCAACAATAATGGAACCTTGCTGGTTAGAGTTTCAATATCTTTCTTTGATTTCATACGATGAGCTTTCTCCTTTTTCTTCTTACTTTCTTTTAATTCTACTTGTCACAATTTTATCCTGCCATATAATCCTTTCTGCCTTGTCTCTTAGCGTTCAAGAAGGTCCAATCCTCAGTGATCTTGATCAGTGCTTGTGCATTCTGGTGAGCGATATCAAAAGGCCGGTCCATATGTTCACAAAATGCCTCCTCCTTTTTTGTTTGAGTGACAGTTCGGCGTCTGCATGCTTTCTTTAGCCCTTGCCAATCGTTGTGGATTTTCAGTACTTGTTTAACTATATCATGCCGATGGGCAGTTGGGATACCAGCTTTCTCCCAAATGTCAAGGACCTGTTGCACTGTTACCTTGGCACTTTCTTTCAACACTATGGATAGCTCTTTGTGGTGATAAAAGTAGGCTGATAAAGTCTCTCACAAAAAGAGCAACTTTTTAGTTTGGTTAAAGTAAGAGGCTGGTGCTCCAATCAGCCACACTAAAGAATGATGTCTTATCTTCATGACTTCATCATTTGTAGTTGTGGTGGTAGCCATTGCAAACTGGTGACCACTGAAACAAAAACAAAAAAATAATACAGCGTTAATAATTCAGCATATATATATATATATATATATATATATATATATATATATATATATATATATATACATATATATATATATATATATATATATATATATATATATATATATATATATATATATATATATATATATATATGTATGTATATATATATTTATATATATATATATATATGTATATATATATATATATATATATATATATATATATATATATATATATATATATATATACAAATATATGCAGCTCTCAGAATTTAGGTTAGCATTAAGCATTGCAGACCTAATTACAGACCTAGAAGTGTTTGAGGTCGGCAAAAAATTGCTAGCTTTGTTTCTATGTCTTATGATCAAACCTTTAACAGATTAAAGTCGGCTAATTATTGTCGACCTTATTTTACCTAATTCTGAGGGCTGTATATGTATATATACATATAAATGAATATATACATATGCATATATATTTATATATGTATATATAATTATATATATATATATATATATATACATATAAATATATATATATATATATATTTATATTCATATATAATATATATATATATATATATATATATATATATATATATATATATATATATATATATATATATATATATATATTATATATATATATATATATATATATATATATATATAATATATATATATATATATATATTATATATATATATATATATATATATATATATATATATATATATAATATATATATATATATATTATATATATATATATATATAATATATATATATATATATATATATATATATTATATATATATAATATTTGAACATCTTCAAGCAACTTAATGTCTGTTTCAAGATATGGGCTTGAATGGCGAATTCTAGATGTGGCCGGACATAAGATATATAGAGTGTGCGCCACAAGGTTAAGTTTCTACTGCGGAAAGGATTTTTTAGTTTTTCTAACTTGCCATTGGCTGTTAGAAATGGATGCTGCTTTTTTAACTTGTGCTCTGACTTTCAGATCGTTTGATATGAGAACTCCAAGGTCACATTCAACAGTTGTAGTTGCAATAGTGTGGCGCATGCCATCAGCGGTTTCCATAGAGTAGTCATGTGATAATTGTTTATTAGGATGACCTGCATGCATCACTTTACATTTACCAATGTTAAAATGCATGAGCCAAGTGTTTGACCATGTAACCGCGTTATCAATATCTGCCTGAAGCGTTGTGCTATCCAATGCCGACTTTACGATCCCAATAATTTTGTTCATCAGCGTATAGCATTATTTTGTGAACGATACTATCAGGAAAGTCGTTTATAAACAAAATAAAAAGCAGTGGCCCTAAAACAGAACCTTGCGGAACGCCACTTGTGAATTCTTCCACTCAGAAACGTGTTCTCCCAAGACAACACGTTGCTTACGGTCTTTTAGCCACATTTTAATCCAAAGTAGCAGCTTTTTGTGAATACCGTATGCTTTTTGTTTATGTAGAAGGTGTTTGTGCGGGACTTTATCGAATGCCTTAGCAAAATCTGTGTAGATAATATCAGCACTGTAACCTTGATGCATAGCTTCGGTAAGTATGTCGCAAACTTTGAGGAGGTTAGTTAAACATCCCTTTTTACAAATAAAACTATGCTGATGCTTGGAGATTAGATTGTTTTCCACACAATGCGCCATGATATGTTTGTGAATTATATTTTCCATTACTTTGCACAGTATTGAGGTGAGGAAGACCAGTCAGTATATGTATATATATATATATATATATATATATATATATATATATATATATATATATATATAATATATATATATATATATATATATATATATATATATATATATATATATATATATATATATATATATATGAATATGTATATATATATATATATATATATATATATTTATATATGTATATATATATGCTATTTATGTAATTATACAACAAATATATATATATATATATATATATATATATAAAATTGTTATGATATATATGTTAGATGATATATATGTTTAGATGGCTACAAAATACAATGACTTAACATCAGAAAATCGCATGAATCCTATTATACGTGTTATTTTACAAGGTGTATATGATGTTGATAGTCCTTTGTCATTGCTACGTGGCATGCCACATATTCTTGTTTTTATATGGAATAGTATTAAAGCTTTTTGGAGAAAACATATACAAGTTGGAATAAATAAGAATTCCTTTATTTATGAATATCCTTATAAGATTAAATTTAATTCAATAGCATATTCACTTATACAAGATTCTTTGAATTTTCCTTCACCAGGTAACTTAAATATTAATATGATGCCATTTGTCATGAGTTCCAGTTTCAATAAATGTAAATTACCTAAAAATACAAAGCCTTATTGGGACATTATAAAATTATGTATTGATGAGCAATTTAATAATTCTAAAGATGAAATAGGAAAAATATGGTTTTTGACAATTCAAGAGAGTCTTGTTGATCAAGGTACTTCCCAACGGAGACAAGGACTTCACACTGAAAGCCCTGGAGTTGCTTATATTAAAAATGATAGTCTATCTAGTAGTAAAGACATTTTGGAAAATAAAAAAACAATTTCTAAAGAAGTTCAAAATGGAGGAGGTTGTTCTCAAATCTCTTCTTTCTATGCCCATTGGGGTTTTGGAATGAGTGTTATGGATGTTTATTCAGGTGGTATATATATGGCTTCAAACATTGCTGATTCTTGCAAAGTTTGGAATTGTCAAATACTTCCAGGTGAAGATGGAAAATGTGTAATAGGTGAATTAGGAGATATAGAACATTTAAGAGAGTTTTTGCCTGAAGCTGAAATCATGAAAAAAAATGCATTGTATTGGTTAACTGATCGCACTCCTCATGAATCGTTGCCATTGTCTAATAAAACTTATAGGCAATACATTCGTATAGTCACAAGTAAGGTGTCCATATGGTATGAAGACCATTCTACAAAAAATCCATTTGGGATTGTTCCAGACAGTCAAATCACTAAAATTGTGCGAGGTTCAAAGTTTGACCAAAAACCTTTATGTTTAGTTACATAATTTCTGTTACTAAGCTATTTTAAAGAGTTTTTTAATAAGCCATTTTTTAAATTTAACTTATTGATTTGTTTGATTTTTTGGTATATTTTTGACATTGTTTATAATGAAGTTATTTTAAATAATCATTTAGTGAATTAATATTAATTATTAGCTGTTTGCAATTAGATAATTTAATTTTAATTAAGATCCCTTCACTTAATATGTTTAATGGTGTCCATTAACATCATTTAATTGATTATGCCATGATGATCTCTATTAGATGTGGTGCACTCCTTTTTCTGATATTTAAAGTCAATAAAATTAGTTTAAAAAGTTTTGTGGTAAAGAAAAAGGATTTAGAAAATATTTTTAATTTTTTTTTTGTGTTTTGTATTGTTGTTTTTAAATATTTCTAAGAGTAACATTTTTATTTTTTTAAAAGAAGGTATATTTTTAAATATAATATTATCAAAATATAAAATGAAATATAATTATCAAATGAGTTTTGTAAAGAAATGAAGCTAATATAAATTCATGGTCATTACATACTTTTTTTAATTTTTAGTATGAAAGCTAGTGGCGTAGTGATATAGTGCTTGTTTCATAAATGAGAAATACCAAATTTGATCACTACCATTTCCCTGGTCTTGCTCAACCTAGTTTGTTAAGGTTTATTTATAATACCAAAATATAAAACTTAACAACCTTGTTTGTTAAGGTTTATGCTTTGGTATTATAGGATTAAGTAGAAGTATAAAATGAAATAAGAAGGTTCTAGGTCTTATTTTTAGTTGTCGCCTGCTAATATTTTAAAATTGACTGTAATAGGCCCCATGGCCTTTGGGAAGTGATTTCAGTAAAAAAATAAAATTTAGCAAAGCTAAAAAGAAAATTCTTTACAAAAAAAGATAAATATCATAAGCCTAATGCACATATTACACCTATACAAAACTTAATTATAAAATAGTTTAAATGTTGTTTTAAAATGTTTTTTCTTTTTTTTTGTAATATTCATAAGAATTATTTTTCAAGTTCTTGTACAGCATTATTTACTGTTTCTAGGACAACATGAGTTCTATTTACCATGAAAAACAAAGATCACAATTATGTGCTGTACATGCTATCAATAATTTATTTCAAGATGGTTTATTGTGCAGTAAAAATAAACTTGATAAGTTATGTCTTCAACTCGATCCTTCAGTATTAATGAACCAACACCGAAGTATGTTTGGTACAGGAAATTATGACATAAATGTTATAATGGTTTTTTTAAATGACCAGGGTTATGATGTAATTTGGTTTGATAAAAGAAAGTATGATTTTTAATTTTAAAGTATTTAAGAGTCTGAAAATAAGTTCAATATATTGTTCACAATCTTGTTGTATTAAGTTTTTACCATATCCAATATATATCTATTATAATAAGTTACAAATAATCCAAGGGTGTATCCAGCACATTTTGACGCTCTGATATCTAACATTCAGACATGGAAGAAACTCCAAACATGGGTATGTTTATACTTATATCAAATAAGGATGCTTTGCAAAAAAATGAATTAAGCATTTTGAATGGTTAAAGTAAAATCTCTCAGCATTGACCATATAAAATTTGTAACCTCCTCAAATTAAGGCAGGTTCAAACTTAATATGATTATAATTTTTGAAGGTAAAGAGACTTTACAATAAAATTTAAAACTTAACAATGAATATAAATTTAGTTAAGAAAAGTGAAAAAAAAATAATTTCTTGCTTTCGTATTTGTGCAGGTAGAGGAGAATCTAATCGTTGCAGTTTTTAACAGAGCATCTTTATTTGGTATTAATATTAACATATAAATGTTTAAAGTTTGTATTAAGTCTCAAAAACTGAAATATGCTGAACTAGTTACAATCTTTTTAAAGTACCCAATCCAATATTAATAAGTTACAACCAATCACTATCATTTTGTAATAAATTTACTTATAATTTCAAAATATATTCAAGTTTATATGATATGTTCATAATATGTAATTTTATTTTTTACAGTTATAAGTTACAAATATAAAAGATTTCTAGAAATTTGATAAAAGTTATTTATTAAAATTATAACTTTATTAAAAATATAAAATCAAGTGTCTAACTTATTCGACTCTTGTTATTGTATAAAATCAAGTGTCTTACTTATTCGACTCTTGTTATTGTATAAAAGTATATATTAAATCATAAGTGGATATTTATTTTAGAACTTTGAATGAAATCAATATTGATGAAATTGTCGGCTTCCTGGTCAACACACTTTCATCATATAAAGTTTTTGGAAGATCTATTAATTTGTTTTTGTTTAAACATTGGTATGCCATTCGAAGTTTAAATGGTATTTATTTTAATCTGGATTCAAAGCTGCAATCTCCAATGAAGATTGGTGATAGAGATTCAGTTTTAAAGTATCTTAATGAAATTATTAATGAAGGTCATAATGAACTATTGATAGTTGTAAAGAAAGGTAATGAGAAATTTACTTTCTCTTGAAAATAAAATAGTTTTTAATTGGATAGTTTTATTTTTATTAAATTTTTAAAATATCAATTAATGCATCAATGTTTCTATATTTAAGGTAGTGTAGCCTAATGGCGTTGTTTCTTCAGATGGTTTGGCATCAGTGATCTATATAATGGTAATGGTTTAGCATAGTTCATTGGGAGTTAAAGTCAAGATATGACTTTCTGCAACAGGCCCTAAATTGCCTAGCAATAAACATTGATAAAAACAATATATATATATATATATATATATATATATATATATATATATATATATATATATATATATATATATATATATATATATATATATATATACATGCATACATATATGTATATACACACATACATATATAATAAGGATATATAGTTAAATGTAAAATATGGTTTCATGTTTTATACTGTTTTTCACTAATTGTCTATGCAATCTAATTGTCTAACTAATTGTCAACAACTAATTGTCTAGACAATCAAAAAAAAGTTCTGGAGAATTTTTAAATTTCACATAAATACTATATTGAATTTAAAGGTATTTAGTGTACATAAAGTTTACATAAATACTATATTGTAATTTAAAGGTATTTAGTGTACATAAATTGACTTAAAGGTATTTAGTGTACTTAAATTGATTTAAAGGTATTTAGTGTACTTAAATTGATTTATTCACAAGTACAAGCATAATTTAACGTAACATTTGCTGATATATAAGGAATAAACTATGACATTCTCATTGAATAAACTCAATGACAATAATCAAATTATTTAATTGAAATCTGCAATGCAGAATTTAATTAAATAATTTGTAATTTCAATGGCATAACATCGTAATAAGACTTTTTAAACATTTTCCATTTTGTTTAATATTTGTTAATAGTTGTTAGTTTTTTAAATTAAAATTAAAGCTTTAAGATTTGTTTTTATTGTTAATTAAAAGTTCAAAATCTAGATTCTTCATCAAAGTGATTCCACATTAAAGATAAATCTAGATTCTTCATCAAAGATTTTCCATCACTACACAATTAATTAATATTTTTATATTTCAAATTTTTTGAGATCTTTGTGATAAGTTTGTTTCTTCTATGAAACTAAAAAATGTGTTTCTTTGTTGCTTTATTGTTTTTTCAATGAAACTAAAAAAATGTTTCAGCGGATTTTGCAGACAAGATCAAAATACATTTTTTCTTTAATTTTTGTGAGATTCAAAATTTTTTTTTTGTTAAAATTCATTTTTTTTGAGTTCAATAAATTCAAAAAAGTTTTTTTTTTTTACTTAATTCACCTTGCCAAGAAGCAGTGTGGCTCACTATAGTTAAAAAGGCAACTCATTTATTTTTTTATTTTTTGTTTTTACAACCCTCTATCACTCTTTGAAACATAAGTCTTGATGAACAAGGCTGCTGTGCAGAGAAATAAGTTAATTGAGGTAACACCAGGGATATTGTGAGGATCAAACGTCTTACAAAGCAAATGTTTTACTACTATGCTACTAATGCAATCACGGATACCACTACATCATTACCATAAATACGATAATAAATACATAAATACTTTTTTCATAATATTTCATGAGACTCAATAATGTTGGATATTTTTGAGTTTCATCAGACTTTTAAAAGTTGTTTTAGAATGTAGGATACTTAACAAATCAAATCTATTTTTTAAATTTTTAAATTGCTTTAACTTTAAAATTAAACTTTTTAATTGTTTTAAAACTTAATTCTTTGTTGTAGTTTCTGAGAGTTATTAAAAATGTTACTATAATTTTTCAAGTTTATTTTATTATTTATCAGTAAAAACATTTACATATTTATATTTATTATTTATATATATTTGTAATATGTAATAACTTATATATTTTTATATATATTTTATATGTTTATATGTAAAATATATATGTTTATATAATATATATTTATATTATGTGTGACTTATTTCAACAAACTAACAAAAAAGCGCTAGCAATAAAGAATAATTGTTTATTTATTAGAAATTTTTAAATTTAAATTTTTATCAATAAATTTCTATTCCATATTATATGCATTATAATATTATTTGAAAGCAAAGTTTTTTAATTGTAGAACTTTAAAATATTATTATGACTCCTTTATTACGTGTTGGTCTTTGCATCCCAACTAGAAAAAAGTTATCTATGTGTCTTCCTGAGAAAATATCCGATCTTTGCAAAGCTTCCAATATTGAACTATGTGAAATAAATCCAAGTATTGATTTAGAAAGTCAGGGTCCATTTGATGTAGTTTTACATAAGGTTTTGGATTATCACAATGAGCTATCAACTGAAGAAGCAAATAAAAAAATTAAATCTTTTGTAACTTACTTTGCAAATCATCAAAACACAATTCTTATTGATAATCTTGAATGGTGTACAAAATTTACAAATCGAAAATATATGATCGAACTACTTAAGTCTTGCGAATTTAGTATGAAAGGAAAGAAAGTATTTTTACCTAAAACCATACATATTATTGATAAAATGACCATTTCAGACATATTACATATTATAAGTGAACAAAAAGTTCGATTTCCTGTTATTTTAAAACCATATTCTGCATATTTTGATAACGGCTCTCATGACATGGCTTTGATATTTTCTATTGACAGCTTATTGAATGTTGAACCACCTTATCTTATTCAAGAGTTTCATAATCACAATGGCGTAATTTACAAAGTGTTTGTTGTTGGAAACAACTTTAATATTTGTGAACGCCCATCAATAAAGAATTTTAAAGTTTTGCATGAAATTGAATCTCCTTTAAAAGAAGCAATGCATTTTGACTCCCATTGCATATCTAAAACTGGACAACCCTATTTTAAAGAATTGCAGTCAGAGGATCCAAACAAGAAAATTTGGTGTAATGATGACACCAATCCGAATCTTTTAAATCGAAGTATTATTAAAGAATTAATTTTAAGAATTCAAAGCAAGACTAATTTATTTTTGTTTGGTTTTGATATTTTAGTAGATATTGAGAATGGTGATTATGCTGTTATTGATATTAATCAGTTTCCCTCTTATGCCGGGATTGGTGAACACCATTTTGCAAACCATCTTGTGGATTTGTTCAAGTCATTTATTAGATGAAGATGTAACAAGAATTTTTAATTTTTTTTTTGGGAAATCTTTTATACTAAACTCTTTTATCAATATTTTATAGTTTTTTTTTTAATTTTTTTTCCCTTGTATTACCTTTCTTGTAAATTAATAAGGAACTATTTTTTGTGCCTATTTTTATATTATAATATATTTTATTCCTGTTTACATTTATTATAAAATAGTTTAAAAATAACAAGACAAATTTGTTTTAATTAGTAAGCAGTGTTTTTATCAATGACTCAGATGAAAAACCCTAGGCTTAAATCAAGTCAACATCTGAAATGTCATCAATGAGATCTAAAGTAAACTAATTTAATAATAATGATAAAAAAGTTTAAAATAAAATAAAAATGAAATTTGAAAATTTTATTATTTAAATTGGCATCAGTAATCACTGAAGATAAATTATATGATATTAAAATTGTAGTTTTCTTATATACTTTTAACAAAAAAAACATTTCACAATATTAGTTGATTGGTTAATTGACAATACTAAGATTACAATGTTTACATTGCAACCTTAGTGTTGTCCAATTTGCTTAATAATGTATCAGAGAGTTAATCTCTTATTCTCTCCAAGATATTTTATCTCTTAATGTTTATCTCTTAGTTTATCTCTTGACGAGATGGGCATCCTAGCACGAAGTTTAAAATTATGATTTTAAAAAAGGTGTTTTTGTTTAATAAATAATCAGAAATCAGGTTATCAATTACAAATTTCTTTAAATATAAAAATAATATTGTTTATATAAAGTTTTTAACTCAACTTCTTTTTTGTGAGCAATTATGGCGCTTCTGAGAGAATCTTCTTTTTTTTTTCTTACTAAGAAAAAATCTAAAGACGAGCATTTTCTTTAGGTTTTCATACTATCCATTTATTTTTCTTTAGGTTTTCATACTAGCTATCCATTTATTTTTCTTTAGGTTTTCATACTAGCTATCCATTTATTTATTACCAACTATTCTTATTTGATACAAAAATTTATAAACAAATAGCTATAAAAGATTTTACTGCTAAAAATATTTTATATTTTTTTACTGTAATAAAATGCATGAAGTTACAACAATTAATAAAAGTGTTTATGTGATATTAACAGTTTTTTTTAGTTGAATATTTAAATGTGCATTATATTTTTTGTTTTGCTCAAATTGAGACAAATTTATATAATTTTTTACACAATATAAAAATTATTAAGCAATAGTTTTGTGTGAAATAAATTATATTATATATATGAGTTTGAGCAAAGTTTTAGTTCGCAATAATTTAGTACGTAATAAATTTTTATTATATATATGAGTTTAAGCAAATTAAAAAAAAGTCGTTATGACATTCAAAAAGTTTTACTTTTTCAAATGTATTTTTAAGAATGTTTATTATAAAGTAGATTTTAAATAATAGCTTTAATAGGAAGACATTGACTTAGAAAAGGATTTACAACAGAATATTAATTTATTTTTTCATCATGGTATTTTTATAAAAAACTGAGATTTAATTTTAAAAACAATCAGTTAGTCCAATCTGATTGGTTTTTAAATGATTTATAAAATCAAAATCTATCTTTAAAATCAAAATGTAATCTTTTCTCTTCTTAATGTACTTTGTTAACAAATTCTTGAACTAATTTGCCTGCTTTCTTTCTTTCTCTCTCTCTCTCTCTCTCTCTCTCTCTCTCTCTCTCTCTCTCTCTCTCTCTCTCTCTCTCTCTGAAGAAAAGAAAGCAGTGTCTTCTTTGTCATTTTTGTACCTATCTTTCCTCAATCAAATTTTTTGGTTTTTTCCAATCCAGAAAACTTTTTTCATATTTTTATAAAATTTCTTCTATAGCCTTGGTCTATCACTATTTTTTAGCTTCTTTCGGTCTATCACTATTTTTTGATCTTAATCATATAAAGTGAAAATATTATTATTTAAATATTTATAACAGTTTTAAAATATATTTTATTATTTTGATAAGGTTATACAGTTTTAATTATTAATTTCTGGGGTTTAATTATTTCAAATCTACTATATATCCACAAAACTGATAGGTAGAATGAATGTCCAAGAACTGGTAGAATATGTCCACAAAACTCTAATTTCAAATGCTATGCAGCAACCCAACTGACTGGTAGAATAATTTGGTGTCAATAATCTTTTATTTGAACATCCTACAATAAAACTGAGTTTAACTTCATATTAGATTTTCACAAAAAGTTTTAATATTTAAGATTTTTTTGTGTAGTGGCAAATTTGTTGTTTGGAATACTAGAATTTATTTTTCTCACCAGAAAATTATTAATTTTTTTTTTATTTTCTTATATGGTGGCACCTTATAATTAATGATATTTTTTGTTTATCTAAAACTAAATGTTTAAATATAACTATGGTAGATAAAAGAATCATTTAAGTTATATACTAATATAAATATATAATTTGAAAATTAAAAGTTATTTAAAAAGATGATTTTTTGAAAATTAAAAATTTATTTTTTATTTTATTTAAAACCTTTTTTTTCTTAATTTGTAACAAACTTTGTAAAATATTTTCACTTTTTTAAACATACTTTCATACAAATTGTACAAAAGAATTAAAATGTCAGATAATTTGAAAATATTGATTAAAAAGTTTTGTAGAAAAAAACATTAGATGTTTATTAGAGATATTTATTAGAAGTATTTTGTTACTTTTTTAAAATATTCTTTTAAAGTCAAATTTCGTTTTTTAATTTCGTATAACTACAATAGACATAGTAAAAATGAATGAAGCATACATTAGAAATGAATGAAGCACACATTAAAAATGAATGAAGCGCACATTAGAAATCAATAAAGCACACATTAGAAATGAATGAAGCACACATTAGAAATGAATGAAGCACACATTAGAAATCAATGAAGCATGCATTAGAAATGAATGAAGCATACATTAGAAATGAATGAAGCACACCTTTGGTCAAACCTCTTATTATTAAAAAGGACCGGCAGGATATTGGTGGTAGATTTTATAAATGCTGTAATTATTAAATAATATTTTATTAAAGGCTGCGTAAATGTTTTTATCTAGATATACAGCTTCCAATTCTAGTAGACTTTTTTGAATAAATAAAAACAATGTTGATTTGCAGTGAAGTCTCTAAAAAATCTGACCCAGTAATAGCAATAGTTCTACAAGAATTTTATGCTCAATAGTTCTACAAGATATTTATGCTGGCAATGTTGCCATTATAAGCTGTGGTATATTTCTGAATATTTTACAGCAGGAAAAAAAATGTAATTTTAAATTAATCAGATGTTGATCTTAAATGTAATAGGAGCAGTTAGTAAATGAAAAAAATATATATATTTCAAATTTTGCAAAAGATGTTATAGTAGCCATTTATCCATCTCCATATTTATGATTCTTTTGATGGCAAGATTCTTTTTTAGCTTAACAAAGAAAAAATATTAGAGGGATAAAATGGCTGTTTTAGTTAACATTAATTGAGAGACTCACCTACCTGCATTAGCTTTATTGAGTGGTGAAGATTAGTTGTTAGATGTAATGGATTATCAACTTGCATACAAGGGTTATCAACTTGCATCAAAAGCTAGAGGAATTAGCTTTGATACATCATGGTATTGGAAACTAGTAAAAAAACTAAACGACCAGATAATCCTTTTTTTGAAAAGTCCAAGAAAGAATATTTTTGAAGAACTTTATTTTAATTATATTTCAGTTGAACTGTCATGTTTTGATTGGACAAAAGTTAACTAAGTTGAACTGTTATAATTAGAAGTCTTTTCAAGAAGGTAGCTAGGAGGTCACTAACATTTTGCATAGCTTACATAAAACAGGTGTTATAAGAGAATAAATACCAGTAAAACAAGTAAAGAAATAGTATGATATGAGAGATGATAAATAAAGATGATATAATATAAAAGCAGGGGCCGATTCAGCATTTTTTGGTCTTTAAGCTAATTTCCAGACATGGAGCAAACTTTAAATTCCTTGTCCCAAACACTATAACAATAAGTTGATAAAGTATTTTTTTGTGCTATTCTCATTTAGATTAATATTTATCCATAAAATTTGAGTTTAATCTCTCAAATCAAAAATTATGACCATATAAAATTTGTAATCCCTCAAATTGAAGGGGGGGGGGGGTTAAACTTTATATGGTCATGAGTTTTGAACGCTGGAACATTTTGCTATGAAATTTAAAATTTTTCAATGAATATAAATATTGAAAACCATCTATGGATGTTATCTCAAAGGCCAAAAAGTCCTGGATCTGCCCTTGTATAAGAGATGATAAAAGGAAATTTGAAAGTTAGTTTTTATCTATTTTATCTCCTATTAATAAAAATAAGATAAACAAGTGTTTTTCATCATGGATTATTTAAAGGAAAAAACGGTTCAGGAAAATGATCAATTGAAAATGGAAATTAATCTTATTACAGAATTTATTATTTTTATGCAAAATGATATTTGCAATCTAATGATGTCATCAAAACCCTTTTACTTGACATATATACATCATATGCATCTTTATAAGGCAGTATGTCCAATTCAAATTTTATTGATGCTGTAATGACTAGAGTCTCAGTATAAACAATCATAATGATGCCTCTAGTATCATCAAATTCAATCTGTATTCATTTATGTATATTCAGAAAAAATTTAGTAAGCTCTTAATATAAAGTTTAATGACAGCCTTAGTACAGTGATGTAATGGTGGTCTTAGTGTAATGCAGAAATAAACTTGGTTATTAGATTTTCAAATTTTTTTTTTTTTTTTTTAATTTTTTTTTCAAATTGGGTTTTAATCATGTGTATATTATTACATGCTGTTTTTTCATGTTGATATTCAATAAGAATAAATTACAGGTAAGAGAAAATTTGTTGTAATATCCTTTTTTATCTTAAATTAATTAGTTGAGGGGGTCAAAAATGTTTTTATAGTGCTTAAATTCATTTTTTATATATTTGCCTAATTTAGGAAGCATGGCTTTTTAGGTTTGATAATTTGCCTTTTGTTCCCCCCCTATATATATATATATATATATATATATATATATAAAATATATATATATATATTATATATATATATATATATATATATATATATATATATATATATATATATATATATATATATATATATATATATATATATATATATATATATATATATTATATGTATGTATACATACATACATACATACATACATACATACATACATACATACATACATACATACATACATACATACATACATAAAATAAGGAAATACATTCTGCACCAATTGTTTTGAATTTTTTTTTTAAGTTTTAGAATAAATTAATTATTTAAATTAAAATGACAAGGCATGGTAGAAATTCTACTGCAGGTGCAGTATACACATACCACGAAAAACAACGAGACTCTAAAACTTCTGGGTGGGGCTCCCTAAAAACAAGATTTAGTAAAGATGCAATAAAAGAATTTGATTGCTGCAGTTTGACATTACAACCATGCAAAGATCCAGTTGTTACAACAGAAGGTCATTTGTATGAACGTGAAGCAATTTTGGAGTATATTCTTCATCAGAAGCAAGCTTTTGCTAAAAAGATAAAAGCATATAAAAAACAGGTTATACTGATTTTTTAACTATTTATATTATATATTTTTCTCAAATACTTCAGTTTCTACTTTTTCTAATTATTTTAGTTATTTTTCTAGGTAATTACTTTTTGAATTTGTAATTATTCCAAATATATAAAACTAAATTTTAGGTTATTAACAATTTTATATGTATTTAAAAACATTAAAATTTTTACCCGAAATGACTAAAATTGCTATTCTGAAACTTCCCAAAATGAAATATTGCCGGTCATAGTTGACCAGTTGAAACACTTATTATTGGTGGCAATAGTGAAAAAGTTCATTACACTATCAATATTTGCTGCAATGCCAATGGTGATTATTTGCCACCCTTTGTTGTTTTCAAAGCAAAACATTTTTGGGCTTAATGGGGTATTGGTGGACTTTCAGGTACGTACTAGACTGTGTCCCCTTCTGGTTGGATGGAGGAGGATCAATTTGTAGAATGGATTAACTTTGTCTTCATTCCTTTTAAAAATGCAAATTGTGAAGGCCAAGTAGTTTTAATAGCTGATGGTCATTTAACTCATGTTTCTATGGCAGCAGTTCAACTATGTCGAAAGTATAATATTGACTTTAAGTAATTTTACCATCCCATTCGACATTTTTCCAAGGTAATTCGGGTGTTTACTGTTCACAGTGCACTAAATTGACCGCCAGGTTTTATGTCCGCCCACTCTGAATTTTTTTGTTTCCTACAAAAATACCTACCAAATATTTGTAAAAAAAATAATTTTAAATTCAAATCTATCAATGGGTGTCTGAAAAGTTACTTTTTATATGCACCCAGACCCCTAAAAGGTGGGGTGTGTGGGGTGGGGTGGGTGTGTGCTAGAAAATAAATTTTTTGACTTTTTTTTTTTGTAATTTGATTACATAAGTAAATAACTTAACCTTAATTAAGTTCTTTAAATATTGGTATCTATAAAAGATTTTCTGGTACAACTGTAGCATAAACATAAATCTAAATTTTTTAGTAATATTTGTAACTTTTCTTGCTTAAAATAATTTTTAGACCATGATTCTCATAATCTTGAAGTGGCACTAATCAGGCTTATATGTTTAACAACATCAGTATTTAATTGTTAAAAGATGGATCAGTTGTGTTTGCATTTTTTTAATAGTATAAAATAAATAATTAATATGATAAATTATTAAATAAGGCTTTTATCTTACAGTAAACTAAATTTAAACTTTTTAAGAAAAAAGGATTAGATTATGGTTAAAATCTTTTCAATCGAAAGCTGCGCACAGCTTTTTTTAACTGTTTACCATGATCAGGATGAGAAATATCTCATTTATAATGTATATGTCTTTTAAAATTAAGCATGAATTCCCTCGCCTGTTTGCCCAGCCTATTAACCTAGACCACAAAATTGGTGGATGCAAAATGGAATTACATGATTCATTATAATGTGGGTTTTTCAGTTTAAAGACAACTTTGTGTCAAAAGTTTTAGCAAGACCTTGTATGTGACAAAAAGAACTTTTGAATGATTTAAAAACCTCAATAACATTTTCCTATAACTCATGTTCAAAGCATGAATGTACAACTGCCTGAAAATTTTTTAAACACAGTTCTATTGGAATGAACTGAGGCAGGACATCCTGCTCCAACAAGTCTAGTTTTTCCAATATACACTTGGAGTTAGCTCCATCCCAACCAGATCCTAAACACAGTTATTAATCTCTTTAAATTAAAAAAAAATTAATTAAAATAATAGTTTTATTATTAAACACAGTTTTAATAACACAAAATGATGTTCAAACTAGACTTCAAGCACTTGATAAGTCAAAATCAGTCGGTTTTGATTTTGTTCATCCATATGTTTTAAAAGAATGCAGCTCGTCAATATCAAACCCATTATATTTAATTTTCAAAAAATCGATGGAAACAGGTACCCTACCAGATATGTGGAAGAAGGCAAATGTAATGCCACTTTTTAAAAAAGGAAGCAAATTAAAAGCATCTAACTACAGACCAGTCTCGTTAACTTCAATACCATGTAAAGTGTTAGAAAGAATAATAGCTGATTGTATCATGCAACATCTCATAAAAAATAATTTACTTTCAAAAAAACAACATGGTTTTATGAAAAGCAAGAGCTGTACAACAAACCTATTAGAATACCTAGATATTTTAACAGATGCATTCCACAATAGAACACCGGTAGACGTATTGTACGCAGATTTTAAAAAAGCTTTTGATAGTGTTTCACATAAAAAGTTATTATCCAAGTTATTGACTTTTGGTATTTCTGGTAAACTTCTTAAGTGGATAGTCTGTTTTTTAGCTAACAGAAAACAAAGAGTGGTTTTAGGTAAAAGTGTGACAGATTGGGTTGATGTACTTAGCGGTGTACCACAAGGGTCTGTTCTAGGTCCTCTCCTTTTTTTGGTATATATAAATGATTTACCAGAAAATTTTATTAATGAATGTCGTTTATATGCTGATGATAATAAGATAATTGCACCTATTTCTTCTCAAAATGATTCACAATTGTTTCAAAATGATATAAAAAAACTTGACGAATGGTCAACAAAATGGAAATTAGGATTAAATTTTGAAAAATGTAAAATTATGCACTTTGGTTCAAATAATAACGAATATTCATATTTTATGAACAATAACAATACATTAATGGAAATTGAAAAGTCAAAACTAGAAAAAGACATTGGTGTTAATATATCAAGTGATTTAAAATGGGCCAAACAAGTAAAATATGCAGCTAGTAAAGCAAATAGTATACTCTCACTACTAAATAATACATTCAAGTACAAGGATAAAGATCTAATAAAAACACTGTATTGTACATATGTTAGACCAAATTTAGAGTTTTCAATTCAAGCATAGCGTCCGTATTATACAAAAGATATTAATGAACTAGAAAAAGTCCAACGAAGAGCTACCAAAATGATACCGGAGCTAAGACATCTTGAGTACAAAAAAAGATCGGAAATTTTGGGTTTGACTACTTTGGAGACTAGAATGCTAAGGTGTGATTTAATCCAACAATTCAAAATATTTAAAGGTAAACAATGAACTCTATTTGGTCATCAGGTCCTGCAGCTAACATTAGAGGAGCAAAACATCGAATGAAACTTGAATTGGTCAGAAATTGTTTGAAAAGGCAATATTTTTTCAGCAATAGAGTTGTCGATGGATGGAATAGTCTACCAGCCGAAGTTGTTCAATCTATAATTTATACCGGCTGTCATAGATATTGCCTGGCGCTTTATCTCAACAGCATTAATTAATAATAATAATAATAAGATAATTAAAAAAAAAATGTCTTAAAATATTCTACCTTGATATTCATGTCTTAAAATATTTTACCTTGATATTCATGTCTTAAGAATATTCTACCTTGATATCCATGTTTTAAAATAGAATTTCTGGAACACCAAGGCCCTAAGTTTTGCACTACCCATTAAAAGATCAAGTTCTGGTGGAGGGATTTGATGTTGAATTTCAACATCTGGATCAACATTAAAATAAATAAGCCTAAAAGTATCAAAGCATTAAATAATCTTGACTGGTTGATTAAATATTGTTGATTGTTATTATTTAACGTATATTTTATCTAAATAAATCCCTCTCTCATTTCAGATAAACGTTCTTGGTTTTCCAGCATTTACTTCCATTTATTTTTTCACAGTACATGCACACATATTTTCTAGAGCTAATTCCCAAAACAAATATACTTTCTAATAGTAAAAATATAGTTTCTATACTTTCAATAACAAATATACTTTCAATAACAATACAATAATAATACTTTCTAATAGTATAAATAGTTTTGTTCCATTATTGCTCAGATTAATTGCAACTTGCAAAATAGTTTCAAGAGATACAGATCTGCTATGGTTCTGCTATGAGTTTTATTTTCTGATACACTAACTTGAACTGTAAGTTTGTTTCCAGTTGAAAGCATCATTTTATGTTCACTAAGAATATTTTTCTTTTCTATTTTATGTTTAAGAATATGAACTACCATTATTTTTGCACACTTTACCTCCCAATGCATGATTAACTAAGTTTTTAACCTTTTTTTTTCCACATGGATTAAAATATTTCTTGCCGTAAATTAAATTAAGTTTCATAATTTTATTACTATTATATCCAAAAGTTTATTCCTCATTTAAATATTTTTTAAATTACTAAAATTCAAATACACCAACAAAAGCCAAACAGTTAGGGCATATTCGAAAATTTTTTGATTGGTTCAGGAGTTAAACTTGCTTTTGTTTTGAATTTTGATCAATTATTCTAAATTGTATAATTAACAAAACCTTTATAAATATAAATCTTATAAGTTATTTGATATATCTTAATTTAACAATTAATGACTCAATACTGCTTGTTATTGGAACTAACTTGCATTTGCTTTTATTACACCAGCATACAGCACATAAATTTTTATAAGCATTACCCATATAATAATTTTTTTTATTTAATGTTAAGTATACGTAAACTTAGCTTTGTAAACGTGGATATTTATTTAGTTAGTAGAAAAGTGAGAGCAAAGTAAAGTAATATATTTTAACATTTGATAGATTTTGTTAGGAAACAAAGTATCATTTAAAATAGTTCATAGACATCTTGGTTCTAAAAGTATTTTAGCTAATAAAAGTTTAAAAAGCTCAAACATTCAAACTAAACCAAAAATATTAAAAAAAAAGTTTAAGGTTTATTTATTTTCTGGAGTACCAGAATTTTTGTGAGTACTAAAAAATGTTTTATAATTGACTCTTGCCAATATATTCAATCAGATTACAAAAAAAAAAAAATTTAGATAATAAATGCAGTAAAGAAAAATGTCAAAAGCCATTTAATAGCGCAACAACTGATCAGCAAAACCTTTGTTTGCAATGTGAGAAAAGTTCTTGTTGAAAATGGGTTTGTGAAAAATGTTGATCCAAAAAAAATACAATAGAATTTTATTGCTCTGTAAAATGTAGAAAACAATGAGTTTTTCACTTTTATCTCTTCATTTCTCATGCATTATAATTTGTAAATTGATTTATTCTTTTTAGTTTGCTTAATTATTTTAAAACTTTTTTTTAGTCAACTAAATCGGCCCCCCCCTCCCAAGGACCATCTTCAAGGCTTTCAAAATATCCTACATTTCTTAAAAAAAAAAAGAAAAAAAAGGGTAAAAAAGGTGAAGCGGGGGACATGCCCCGATACCTCTTGGTATAGATGGCCATGCCTCCACTTATTGAGTATTGTTAGATTTCTTTTATTTAACTGATTGTGAGTGTGTTTTTAAGATTTATAATTTGAAATAAAAAGTTTATGTTGTAAATAACATAGGTGACAAAATTCCTCCAAATTAGATTTTATTGGGGTAATTTTGCCACCCCATTTTTTTTGTTCTAATTATTTAAAAAAAAATAATTAAATATGTAAAGTTTCTAAAAATATTATTAACAATAGAAAAAAATTTTGATTTTTATTTTAGTTCTCAAGTTATTTAAGTTTAAAGGATTAAAAAAAATGCAAAAATATGCTTCAAGGGACGAGACCGAGCTGTCAAGCCCAAGTTAAATAAGGAAAAAATTAGGAACATAAAAAGGATAAAAAAATGAAATAGATATTTTGAACAGATTTTCAGAGCAAAACAAAGATACTAAAGTAAAGTGTAAATTAAAAAAATAATAATGATAATTTTTAAACATCGCGCATGTAGTAGAAATTATAAACTCAGACTCATAATGGAAAATCATAACTAATGTGTAAGGTATAAAAAATACAAAGATAATATATTAGGTTTAACTTAATATGCTCAGAGCGAGAATTGAACCTGGAACTCATTGATTATTAGGTTTACGCTCTAAACGATCAAGCTATAAATGTTCATATAGATGCAAGATAGTAAACATTAAAAAAATAATAAAATCAACCACAAAATTAGATGACAATGAAATAAAATAGTGTACAAATAAAGACAAACTACTGAAACTACTATATATATATATATATATATATATATATATATATATATATATATATATATATATATATATATACATACATACATACATACATACATACATACATACATACATACATACATACATACATACATACATACATACATACATACATACATACATACATACATACATACACGCATACATATATACACACACAAATATGAACATATACATACATATCTATATACGTACATTAGGGTGTTTCATTTCCTACAATTTTTTGAAAATGGTTATGTTACCTGCATAATGGGGTAAATAATGTGCCAAATAAAGTCTGTAAATATTTCAAAATTTTTAAATGTCATCTAGAGGTTGCCATCTTGAAAAAATTGCATTTTTTACAGTTCAAAATATTTTTTTTTTCAAAAAAAACATTTAAGCACATATTTAGGCTTAAGGAAATATAATTGGACTAATAAACCAAATTTTTTTCTCACTTTATTTTGTTGCAAAAGAATTTGAACAAAAATTTTTAATGAAAGCATCAACTTAAAAACCCTTTGAATGAAAAAACTTAATTTTGCTAATATTATAGTAATTTTGCTTATACTTAAGTATGCTAGGTCAAGAAGCAATAAATTAGAAATAAAGCGGTATCTAATAAGTTTAGTCTTTTTTTGAGTTTACTTGTTTGTTTGTTTTTATTTGACTTTACTTGTTTGGTCTAGAGATAGAATATGTTTTTGCAAAAGTATTGAGTTCAAAGTTTTATGACGATAATGTTTTCATCAATTCTAATTTAATAATTATAATAGTTCTATTTAATTACTTATTTTTATTTTAAACGCATTTTATGTTTTAAATGTTATAAACTGTAGAAGAGAGCAATAAATCAAAATAGTTAAGCTCTTTTATATTAACACAAGCTTTTTATATTAACAAAACAACTTTGCAGTATTGTTTTATTTTTATTTTCATATTGCTTTTTACAATAACAATTTAATACGCTTTAAAAATAAAACATGTTTTATCAATAGCATAAACAGGATATTAAATAGTTTTTTATAACTGTTTAAAGTGCTTAAAATATTGCAATACTTGTGTTTTTACTTTTGCTTTTTTAAGTATCATGTTAAGTAAAAACAATTACTAAAAGTAATATTGTATTAGTTTTAAATACATTATTGCACATTGCATTATAACTGCCACTTGAGCTTTAAATTATAACTTAAGATATTTTAAACCCCGCCTAAGGAGAATATTATGAGATAATATTTAATTATGAGAAGTATTATATTAAAAAAAAATAGCAATTACAAACTATATACATAAGATGCAATTTTATACTAATACAACCTTCCTTACTGCGAAGCAGCTAGCAGGGGGGATTTCAAAAAAAAATTTAAATTTTTTGCAATTTAAATTTTTTGCATTAATTCAAGCTCTGTTATGGTCAAGATTTATTCCATGCAGGCATCGATATGTTTATTCAATTTCCAATCTTCAAAAGCCTTCATACAAACGTCAGTCTCAGTGCTCACTCGCGCCTGAATCAATTTTTGGAATGCCGAGCGATTTTTGCATTCCACCACCAGTCACAAGGATCGCAATCCTATTCTTTTTTTTTTTTGTCTTACTAAAGTGTTCTCCAAAACTCATATCAAATGACATATCAAAGGTTTTCGATAAAGTCTGGCATGCTGGTCTGCTTCATAAGCTCACTTTATATGGTGTATCTGAGAAAAATCATTCTTTTTTAACTGCAATATTAAAGTTGTTCTCATAAAAAAATAATTTTATTCATTTCCAATAAGTTCTGGGGTACCACAAATTTCCATCCTTGATCCTTCATTATTCTTATCTATAATAATGATCTTACATTTAAAATGGCTCTATTTACTGATGACACAACTATATACCTAAAGTATATACAATCTACTTGTATACAATCAATTGCAAAGTTAGCATCTGCTAAGCCTTTATTTGTTGTGCTCGCCTTTTCCTTGCTAATGGTTCCATCTTCTACCTCTATCAATCTCTTATTTGCCCAATATGGAGTACTATTTTCATATTTGGGCTGGTTCTCATAATGATGGCTTTTTTCTTCTAGACAATATCAAAAAAATTTTTTTTTTTTTTTTTTTTTTTTTTTTTTTTTTTTTTTTTTTTTTTTTTTTTTTTTAGTTTTCAATATAGGAGCAAAATTCTTTTAATTTACATATGCTTTTGTTTAAATTAAAAGTTAAAAGTTGATTAAATCTTATTGTTTATAGTTAGTGAAATTCGTTTCTTTTATTTTTTAATAGTATAAAGTTATAAATTCATATAAAATAGTATATAATTATATATTCCTATACTTGTTTTATTATATTATTATTTTTAATATATTATTATTTTAAATTTAAAAATTATCAAAATATTTGAAAATAATACTAACAATATGTCTTTATGTGTTGTTATATTTATAATAACAATATGTGTTCATTTATGTGTTGTTATTTTTATAATAAAATATATGTTCATTTATGTATTATTGTTTTTATAATAACAATATGTGTTCATTTATGTGTAGTTATTTTTTTTAAGTTAAAAAAAGACAAAGAAGAAGCAGAGGAAAGTAACGAAAAAAGTGAACGACTAAAAGTTTCACAGTTTATTGGTTTGGAGACTAGTATTGCAACCAAAAGAGAAAATCCTTTTAAAAGTTCTGATGATTCTGGTTCTACAAAGAAAAAAAAAGACAATGACAGCTTGCAGTCAATTAAAAATACAAGTAATATATTTGACATTTATAAAAGTCTTAGAAAACCATTAAAATTTAATTAAAGTACTATTTCTATAATTTTAATTAAAAAATATCTTACATAACAAACATGTTATTATTTTATTATTTACTCTTTTCATCATTCAAGTGTATAAAAGAAGTCTGAAGTTTAATTTAGAGAATATTTTTTTCGAGAATATCTTCTTCCATCAAAATTTTAAATATGGCTCTTTGTTCTTTGATATTCCAGTATTCAAAGGAGAATACTGGAATATCAGAGAATACTATATAAAGGAGAATACTGGAATATCAAAGAATACTATATAAAGGAGAATACTGGAATATCAAAGATTTTGTTTAGAGTTTCCGCTACTTGTCTCTTTAAAAACTCTTAAACTTTGAAAAATGAACAAAGTTTTTTCAGTGTTTAGTTTGATATAATGGTTTTTGGATTGTACTTGAACTTTATTTATTAATTCTTGTAGCGCAGAAAGATTAGGGCTTTGTTGAATTATATTGTCTGCATAAGCAATAATGCCTGTGTATATGCCACTTACTGTTATTCCAACTTTGCAATCTGAAACAGTTTGACTTGATATACTTTAAGTGTAGATATTGTACAAATGTGGCAATAAAATTGACCCGGTTTACACGTCTTAAGACAAATAGAAATGATTTGGTATATGTCTAAGATATGATTTGGTATATGTCTAAGATATTCAATACACTAGCAATACCTAAGCGGTATTGCTAGTGTATTGAAGCGGTTCACATGTTTTAAACTGAGATTAAGATAAACACACATGTTTTAAATTGAGATTAAGATAAACGCACGTGTTTTAAATTGAGATTAAGATAAACACACATGTTTTAAACTGAGATTAAGATAAACACATGTTTTAAATTGAGATATCAGTAAAATTTGAAGATGGTTATAAGATTTTAGGATAATGATAACTTTAATTTATTTGAATCAAAAATTCTAGTTTTTATAAACTTATTTGTTGTCATCCATTTTATAGGTGAAACTGAAAAAATGAAGTTACCGAGTTTCTGGATTCCAACTCTAACCCCTCAAGCAAAGGAGACGCGTTTAGAAAAACCAGATAGTACTGTATATTGTCCGATGAGTGGTAAAGTTTTAAAAATGAAGGACTTGATTTCAGTAAAGTTTACTCTTGCTCCTCATACCGATAGTAAATCATTAATAACTAAACATGAACGGTACATTTGTCCGGTAACAAAGGATGTTTTAAGTAACAAAGTTCCGTGCGCTGTTCTGAGACCGAGCGGCCATGTTGTCACTATGGAATGTATTGAAAAGTTTGTCAAAAAAGATTGGATCTGTCCTATTACTGGAAATAAACTTCAACCAAGTGATATTATTGAAATTAAAAGAGGTGGTACGGGTTTCGCCGGTGTTAGTGGTAGTGAACTAGAAGGAAAATTATACGGAGCCTCTCTTATGTGTGGTTAAAAGTTTTTTTGTTATTTAAATTGAAAAACAAATTAAGGATGTATTTGAAGTAGTAAAAATTTTTTTTATTTTTTTTTTTTTTTTTTTTTTTGTGTTCTAGATATTGGACGCAATATTTTACTTTTTTTTTATTTTTAAATTATGCAAATAAATTTTATGATAATGTCGTGTTGATACGTTTTTTTATTTTCAGCTGTATATAGTTTTCATAAGTAGGGGAGAGTGGTACTGAATGGACCACAAAATTCAACTTTTTTATAAAAACAATTTTTTCCCATATTGTCAACAACTATGGATATATTAATTCAGAAGTCAAGATTAATACCTTAACTAACAATCCTTAAAAGTTGTAAACCATTGCGCTAACATTACATAGGTAAAATGCGCAATAAATGTGGCCCGTACCAAATTATTTAGTGGTCCATTCAGTACTGTTCATTGTACTGAATGGACCAACCCTTGTATTAAATGGACCGCAAAATAATTCTTTTTTTATAAAAAAAGATTAATATCTCTCTCGTTAATAACTATAGCCGATATATTAATTCGAAAGACAAGATTACACGGTCGTTTACAAGCGCTATGTTTAGGTACGCATACGTGAGAAAATGCGAAAAAAGTTTTGTACTTTTAAAATGGCTACGGTTCTTAACTACAGAGTATATTTTATATGGCAACCGTGTTATTTGTTATTTGATCTCTAAAAACTCAATGTTGTAGCCTTATTTTTATGTAGATCAGTATATTATTACAAAATTTTCACAAAAGTATAAATAAAAAAAGGATAAAAAATATCTTAGAGTACTTAAACTTTATTTTCAATTAACAACTTTTTAGTGTAACTCATAGATTTGTTTATTTATATGAAATCAATTTTCTTAAAATCTGACTGTAGGATTTCAATAATTTTTTTTTTAAACTTCAGATAAATATGTTCTATATTTATGATATGTTCTATATTTTCTGGTCACTGCTTCAACTTTTTTCAATATAAAAATTCGTTTTTACTGTTATGACTATTTACTAATATATATATATATATATATATATATATATATATATATATATATATATATATATATATATATATATATATATATATATATATATATATATATATATATATATATATATAGTCTTTGAATGTCATTTTCTTGTTATACGTTAAAGTATGGTTAGAATTCAATAAATACGGCTGCATATAAACTTTTTTTAAATATATATATATATATATATATATATATATACATACATACATATATACATACACACATATATATATGTGTATATATATATATATATATATATATATATATATACATATATATGTGTGGGTGTGTGTGTGTGGGTGTGTGTACAGTAATACACATTATGTGTGGGTATTATTGTAGACAGACACACACACATATATTATATATTTGTATATATATATATATATGTGTGTGTGTGTGTGTGTTTGTGTATGTATACAATAATACACATATATATATTTTACATATGTATGTGTGTACGTATGTATATATATATATATATATATATATATATATATATATATATATATATATATATATATATATATATATATATATATATATATATATATATATATATATATATATATATATAAAATATATATATAAAATATATATATGCTTTTGTTACCTGAAATATGCAAATATTTTTTCGCAGTAAAATTCTTTGCAAATAATATTAAAAAATAAGTTATTAAAGACCTGCTCGTTATAATGCAAGTATGCATTTTTTAACTGTATAAGTCCATATATTTGCATATATAAACTGTTTAAATGCATATGTTTGCATATTTATACTTAAAAAGTAGGGAAAGTCTTAGCATAAAAGTATCCTTTTTTACTGCATTTTTTTACTTTTTTGTTCCAATATTCAACAAACTTAGTACAAAGTATAATAATATATTTTCATCTAATAATAATCTCTAAGCAGTTTAACTTGTTGGATAATTTTTTTTATAACAATTTTAGTTTTTAGAAATTTTTGGTACTAAAAATTAATTTTGCTTTTTTTTTGTTACTTGCATTATAGTTTTGATAATACACTTGTTTGTCAATTTGCTTCTGGTGCAGCGGTCTTGTTTATTGAGGTTTATGTTACGGAGTTAGAGAAAGGGTTGTAACTACAAAAGTAGCCTCCTCGACTGTAGTCGGTGTAGAGGTAAATAAATATATATATATATATATAAATATATATATATATATATATATATATATATATATATATATATATATATATATATATATATATATATATATATATATATATCAAACGAATATTAGCAAATTAAGCTAATTTCTGGTACTGCAGGTAAAAGTATCATAAAAAGAGTTTTATATCAAAATACAATATAAGCAATTTTGATTTTATGGGCTTTTTAAATATTATTTAATTCAACATATGATTAGAACTGTAAGTGCACTGTATTATTATCAGCTTATTTATTAATAAGATTTTTGAAAATTTATTTATCAATATGTTTTATTAAAGTTACTTAATATTTTTAATTTCAGTTAGAGCATAAAAGTAAAATTGTTCACACTTCGTTTTGATGATAAATACTTCATACTTATAAGGTCGTCCCAAAAAACAATATTTTTAAAAAATATAGCTGCCACCTCCTAATGTATTTTATATGATAAAAAAATACTGGTTTTAAAATTTTTTTGAAGAAAAACAGTTTTGGAATCCCTTAAACATATAAAGAGTTCCTATTATTATCAATTAAAAAATCTTCAAAAGTGTATCCTGACATTTCGTCTCAAATTAAGCGAAATCATGAAAATTTCAAATATGATAATTATATTATAAAAAACTTATTGAAAAAAAAATATTGCTAAAAATTAGTAAAAATGGATTTTTCATTTTTCTTTTTTAGTTAATAAAATTCATTTTTTATGGTGTTAAATCTAACATTGAAATTTTCATATAATTTTGCTTCATTTGAGACCCAACACTCAAATAATTTTTTTTATAATATTAGGAACTTGTTATGTTCCTTGGGGGTCTCAAAGGAACATAATAAGTTCCTAAGGGTCTTGAGAGAGCCATCAAAGTATTTTTTATTCTAAAAATTTTAAAAAACAGTTTTCTTTTTATTATATAAAATACATTAAGCATTTATTGTTCAAAAATGTTCTTTTTGGAAAGACCCTATTTATTAACTTTAGATAAATGTGTTTTATATTGATAATATTTTTTTTGTCATCGCTTCAACTTTATTTTGATAATAAAATTTACTTTTACTGTTATGACTTTTTCCTAATATATTGACTTTTTTTACTGTTATGACTTTTTCCTAATATATATATATATATATATATATATATATATATATATATATATATATATATATATATATATATATATATATATATATATATATAGTATATTACATATATATATATATATATATATATATATATATATATATATATATATATATATATATATATATATATATATATATAGTATATTACATATATATATATATATATATATATATATATATATATATATATATATATACATTAAGAGTTTATTTTCAAAACGCGGTAAACGCCATTTTAAAATTTTTTTAGAAATTGTGTGGTTTATTTTAGTTTATAAGGACCTAGCAGACATTGTGTCCGAATATATGCTAAACGAAGTATAACCCAATATTTTTTTACTTCTAAAAAACATTTATTTTCAAAACGCGGTATAAAATTTTTTATTTATTTTCAAAATGCGGTATTTAATTTTGACCAATCCTTGGCAAATGTATATTCTGCGCAAGCGCAAATATTTTAAAGTTGCGTTAAAGAAATGGCGGATTGCGATGGACAAGATTAATGCGTTACCTAATATCCTATTTCACATAGAAAAAAAGATATGATGTATGAAACAAAAGAAAAGAAAAGCATTTCTTAATTCTAGTGTTCGTTTAAACTACCATGCTTTGTTTGTTTAACTGGACGAAATATGGAATAATGATAGAAAATATATTAAAAAGGCAATTTAAATTAATAAGTTTAAATATATTTGTTACCTGTTTTTTAATGGAAAGCATTCAATAATAATACTTCCTTTTTATTTTTTGTTAAACCGACAATTGCTTTGTTGCAAATAAAATGAGGCTATTGCAGTATTTCATTTTTAAAATTTTATTTCGTTCAAAAATATAACGATGACTTTTATGTTATATTAATTGTCCATTAGTTCTATGGAGACTTAAAAATAGTGATCATTATTGTTACAACTACACAACACTAAAAAAATATTATTGTTTATTGTCCATATTTAACTCTCCGAAACAAATGTAAATTTACAATTGCGAATTGTGAAATGTAATAGTTTACATTACTTTAATAAAACATTGTTTACATTCACATTATCAATAAAATATAATGACCAAACATTAAATACACATATTTGTTCAATATGTTAACTAAAATTAATCATTAAAACTTATTCAGATCTTTTAAAGTTTAAAAACTTTCCATAACATCTTTATAAAATGGGTTTACCGCATTTTGCTAACAAGCTTTATTTGGATATACAGTATTTTGAAAATAAATGCAAACTTATTGACAAAAAAAAATAATTTTTGTTTAATAATATTTTATTTATTAACATTATATAATATACTTTATGTATATATACATTAAGAAACAATAATTTTTCCAAATATACGAGACATGCTGGTGTGGCGAAAAAAGTCAATTATCTCAATACCACAAAAATGGATATACCGCATTTTGAAAATACACTCTTCACATATATATAGATATAATTATTACAACGATAATGTTTATATGTATATATAAATATATATATATATATATATATATATATATATATATATATATATGCATATAAATATATATATATATATATATATATATATATATATATATATATATATATATATATATATATATATATATATATATATATATATATATATATATATATATATATATAGTCACAAAAATAGTAATTAACAAAATAATTAATGAAGTTGCACTTTGATATATA